CCCTAAACCCTAAACCCTGAGCTCGGGTTTTGGTCCGGCTTCTGGCAGGTATGGAGGGGGGTTTGGTTTGGGGTTTGGGGGCCGCAGAAAACGCTGCGAAATTGTCATTTGTGAGCTGTTGCTGATTGTAGAGAGTGTTCGAAGTCACTAGGCCAATAAACAAATCTTTGCATGTGTCTTTGTGCAACTTTGCGCCGTAATCCACGAACCTTGAGCACATGCGCTTCGCCAGAAGTGTGTAGTGAAGTCCTGCTTTCTGTTTTCACAAGGTGGAACAGCGAGGCATCCTGCAATGCACAACCCTGNNNNGCATCCCACAAGCAATCACGAGCCTCCGTACTCTGAATATGTACGCCCTGATGGCCCTAAACCCTGAACACGAAGCCCTCAACCCTGAAGGATGAAGTCAAGGAAGAGCTGGAAGAGGATGCCTGATTTTTTCGTGTTTGTGGTTTCGGGCAATCATCTGCCACCAGCGCTTTTCACTTGATGCTGCTACTATGCCTGCACCAGACATCACAATACGGAACCCGAAAGCGCAGCTCCACCAAGTGCCATCAAAGCTTGATATTCAAAGCCCTAATGGGAAAGTTATGGTCGCGGCAACCGTGGCAGGAGTCAGAAAGCCAGACGGGCAAGGTAGCTGAGACCAAGCTGGAGGTGAAGGAGCCGAGGGGGACCAAGCCCTGCAAGGGTTTACAGAAGGATTTCGGGATTCAGGGATTAGGGCCAAGCCCTGCAGGGTTTGAAGATTTCGCGATTCGGGGTTTAGGGTTTATATAGTTCTATTGCTTCCGTCTTTGAAAACCTTGTTTTGGCCAGAAAAAGCTAGTTGCAGCTACTGGTATTATAAGGACTGTCAGACCTGGTAGCCTACTCATCAACCATATTTGTCTGCCGATGAATTGAAGAGAAGCAAGCACTGTCAGACCAAACTTGTTTGGTTTTTTGTGTCGAGTGATTCATTGCGATGCCACGCAGCGTCGTAGTTGTAGCCTCAGCTCGCTCTTTGACGGCGACCAAAGAACAACTGTATTTGCAGAGCAGATGTAACTGAAGCGGCCGGTTGCTATTCTGTGGATCTGCAGTGCGGGTTCAGGGTTCCAGGCTTAGGGCCTCTGTGTACCTACAAGACTTTGACCGGTGGTTTGAGGCTCGGGCGTCACCAACCCGGCACCGACTTTGAAGCCCTCTGACTAGCACAGCGTGCTTGAAGGATGTGAAGAAAGAAGTGAAGGAGGAGGCTTCGAAGGTTGCACAGATGAAGTTGAAGACGGAGATCAAGCAGGAGTCGTCCAAAAATATCAAGGTGGAAGTCAAGGAGGAGACGACACGGAAGGCTGATGGGATTTTGTGTGCTTCTCCTCCAGTTGTGAGACAGGGCGCTTCGGGTTGAGGGGAGTACCATGGTGGACAGATGTTGTCGTCGGACCAAAACGCTGGTGTTTCATTTCACTGTGCCAGTCAAGAATGTTAGACCATCACCTTTGTGCAGGGCTCTGAGTACTTTATCTGTTTTCTCAGCCCCAAACCTGAAATTCGGACAGGGTTTACTTTCTCAGAGCCTTATGGTTGAAGCTTGCGAAACAATCCCCATCGGAGCCGACCCAGTAGGCTTCAGGTTGAGGTGTATTACTTGAGGCCTGAGGCCCAGCACTTAAGCTTCAGCATTTTAGGACCCAGGACTTCTTGGGTTTAGGTGATACTCAGATGTCATGCTGCAACTGCTGTTTAGAGAAAGGGAGCGACCCAGGGGGTTTCAGTTCCGAACGGGTTTGTGCAATGCCACCTAAACCTTATAAACCCTAAACCATGAGTTTCGAGACCCTGCAGATTCTGAGTCGCATCCGGAGTTGGGCTCGCAGCAGACACTTGGCCGGTTGTGCGCAATGCAACCCAAACCCTATAAACCCTAAGCTTCAACCAGCATGTGTCGGCTCAGCGGCTTGAAGGAGGTCAAGCAGGAGGTGAAGGAGGAGGCTGCGAAAGATACAGATATGGAAGTTAAGGAAGAGAGCAACGAGGCGACTCAAGACACGGGGAATGAGCCTGTAGCAATGAGGTAATCTTGGGGCATGTTCTGGTATGGTCGGGATGAATACAAAATCAGACCCGGCGAAGCCCCATGTGACAGGTGTGTCAGACATATTCACAGCTCGCCACAAGCAGCATATTACTACATTAGTTTTTAGATACACACGAGAAGCACGGAACACATACTAATACTGTACTCTAGACCCTTGAACCAGAAACCCCAAATCCTTGGTGGGGCTAGGTCACCTGCAGACCTCAATGTTCCTGAACAGTCCACTGCTGCATCCGTTTTCAGTTGAGGGTTCGGGGGTTTGGTTGTTGCATGGCCTCGTAGCAAGTCTGCCCTGGAACAACACCATTATGCATGCTCTCAACGTGCTATACTTTTGTCCCTTTTGTCCCTAGACTTGTGGACTTATCCACGAAGTGCTTTCAGTTTGAAAGGCCTATATAGTGATCTTCACCAGGCGGCCACGTCCATTCCTGGATTCCCGGTCTAAGTGTGAGTGTCAGTGGAGGTTTGCCAGGCTTGACTTCCTCAGGTCTTCAACTCCTGTTTAAACCTTAGACCCCAAACCCCGAAGCCTATCCTGTCACCGAGGTCGTCAGCTCCCGCCGCAGAAGGCGCACAAAGGCCGCCTGGAGAGATGATGAAAGATGCTGCAGATCCATGTGTAGAGGTGTAAGTACCCAAGGACAAGGCCGTTCTGGACCGATCCCTGCATGCTAGACCCGTTGGCTTCACGTGCACGCATGTATACATATACTTATTATGTGTATGTGGTGATACTGTCGGACACTCAAAGACCTGGAGTAGCGGAGTAAACATGAGTGCATCTGCTGGTGCTTTCGTGGGGCATCTCAGAGCACGCTTTGGGGTGTCAGGGTGCCGGACTTACAGCTTCCACCCTACATTGGAGAGAGAAGATGAGCAGCTACAAGAGCAGCTGTCAAGTCCGAGTTGGAGGATTACATGCCAGCTCTGGATTTCCAGGACTTGTCATTTGAAAGTGCGATCTTGCTTGGAAGGTTAAGGCTGAGATCAAGCGTGAAGTGAAGCAGGAGGACCCCTGTTTGTCAACATGTTTGCAAGGCAAGGTTGAAGTCGGGTCTGCATGTTGAATTTCGGAGTTTCGGTTGTGGGAGCCCAGATCTTCAGACGTAGTTGGTTTGTTGGATTTTGGATTGCTTGCTGTTTGCCTGCGATTGCCGATGCTACTGCTGCATATCGTTAACGACAGATGTCGTCAATCCTTGTGAATAGTCACACGGGCATTACTGGTACTTCTGCTGATACTGTCGTCTCTATGCCACATGTATCAATGACTGTTATGTGTTTCTGATGCCTCGAACACCCGAAGTAGGAAGATATGAATAAAGATCGGTGTTGTCTGGTCTTACTCACTGAAGTTCTAGTTTTTCATACCTGGTTTTTGAGGCGATAAGACTCTTGTGATTGTATATCAGCAGCCTTTCCAGGTCACTGGGCATCTTGGTGCTTTCATGGCGTCAAACGGGTGTCTAGCTCGGCAGGAGTCTGCAGAAGCATATTCAGTAAACCCTGCAGACTCATGCAACATTCTTATGCACGGTCTTTATCCTGTCCCCCTTATCGCGGAGGACATGACACCGCACAGGGAGTCGCGGCTTGGCAGCGGTCAGGAACCGTATTTGCCGCGAGTCTCTTCACACGATACAGGGCTATATGGGCAGAATCTCGGTGTAGCTGTGCTGTGTGTGGGCAGCCATGAAAGGGCTGCCAGGGGCTGGCCCCAATTCGCATTTGTGCAAGACCTGCGCTCCTACAGTGGAAGTCCGAAACCAGATACCTCTCTTCCAGCTAGTTCGCTTCAATGTGCAGGGACTTCCTCCCTTGTGCCTCAAGGTTTAGGCCCTAGCTTTCGCTGCAGGAAGTCATTAGAGTGGGTTCTATATGGCTCTTCGGCGCGGTTCTTGAACTTTGTTGTTGCTTGCTTTACGGTGTTCTGCTGTAGAACTCGCGATCGCGGTGCTGCATTTTCTACCGACTATTATTAATTTGCTTGCGGAATTGTTGACGTTGCCTTCCAGTTAAGGACTGGCGTAAAGCAGGAGAAAGCGGGTGAGGTGCAAGTTAAGCAAGAGGACTTTGAGCAGCCTGGGCCGAAGAGGCGTCGATTGAGCCAGAAGAGTCCGGACGTCTTCGTTCCATCCTTCGAGTCGCGATTGACAGAGTGGGCCGAGAAATGCCTAGCATTTCAATCCTCTGGCAAGACGTGGCTGCCCACGAAGCCCTGCTGCCCGGCCAGCCCTTTTCTTGGATTGGCGGCAGCTCCGTGGCAAGGATGTGCGAGAGACAAGACAACAGCATGCGTGCAGCTCCTCGGCAAAGAGCAGTTCAGAGAGTTGCGCGAATTCTACCGCGAGAACCCACACCATGCTCTCTTCCATGACAACAGTGACCCGAGCAGCGAGCGACAGTCAGCGACCACAGCTGGATCCAGGCCACAGGCCCACAGGAGCTCAACCGGCAATCAGCACCGAGCAGCTGAGTGCATGAAGATGTGGCCTTGGATGCGGGACCTTCCCACGCGAGCTTGGGCCGGCAACGGCTGGCTGCTCGTGGAGGACGGCATGATGAAGCTCTCCCCGACCGGAGGGGGCTCCGCCATGCAGGGCCTGGAGATCTTCGAGTCCGTGGGCTGCGTCCCGGAACCCGACGAGACGAAGTCCCCGGAGCCACCCAGTGGGGCCGAGCCCAGAGCCGAGCAAGGCCAGGTCGTCACGAGGTGTTTCCGTGGCCTGGAGCGCCAGAGCGGCATCCAGGGAATCAGCTGGCGATCAGCGATGTCTTCATGGCAAGTTTCGTGGCAAGTGGAGGGCAAACGAACGAGGTGCAGTTTCGCCATTTCCAAGCACATGAAGCAGGGCCTCAGCGAGGCCCAGGCCGTGGAGGCGGCGCTCCAGGAGGCCAAGGCTTTCCGCGAGGAGCTCGTGCGCCTGGGCAAGCTGAAGCCCCCTAAGCCCGTCACGGAGAGATCCGGCGACTCCACGGTGAAGGGTGTTAACTACAAAAAGCGTGGATATTATCAGGTGGAGCTTGTAGAGCCCTCCACAAAGCGGAAGGTGCACGGTGGCACATTCAAAGTGAAGGAGGAGGCCGAGGCCAGGGCTCTCGAGCTGGCCAAGGAGTTGGGGCTGCAGGAGGAGGTGGTGCGGGTGAAGCCGCTCTCGGAGCTCCCGCACTTCGAGCCGCTGGGTCCACAGCGAGGGATCAAGTGGAACCGTGGCGAGCAGGGCTGGCATGTCCAGTGCAACGTCTCTGGAAGCAACAGGCACATGAGGTTCCGCCCGACGGACTTCTCGACGAAGGAGGTGGAGAAGTCCTGGAAGCAGGCGGTGGCCTGGCGCAAGCAGCAGGAGAAGGACAGGGAGCGGATCCAGCAGCTCCGCAAGCGCTGAGATGCACAGTACAGTGCAGGAACTTAACCAGGTAATGTTTCGGTGCATTCTCTCCTTGTGGACGCATGTTCAGGGCGAGCTTCATGTCCAAAGACTGATGTTGTCATAGATGACATAAATATAAATGTAAGGCATCATCTGTTTACGAGTTCTCCATGGCGCGCCAGTTTCCCATGTGGCGTCTTGCTCGCTCTGCGCATGTCCGCAATTCAATCCCACACCGCGCACAAATCATGCGCGCATGGGTCTCATCACGCCTCGCGCTGCATTCGAAGGCCTTGTATACTAGTACTTCGAAGTCGTAGATCTGCGGCCACATGCTTTATCTCCTGCGTGCTCTCCTATCGCGAAAAACAGGCAGCAATGTCCTGCAAGAATTTCGAGACCCCACACCTTGTCTGTCTGACTATATGCCCATCCATCTGTTGATATATCCGTCCTGTCTATCAATCTGTCTACCTATCCTGTCGGTCTATCCGTCTATCTGTCTATCAGTTCATCCGTCTATCTATCTATCTATCTATCTAACTGACTGACTAACTAACTCTCTGTCTGTCTATCTATCTGTCTATCTACCCATAGTTATCTACCGATTGCTTCATTGATTTATCGTTCTATTATTTACCACTGTATGTATGAAGGTTTAGTTGAGTCTACAGTCCGGAGCGGTTTGGCTTGAAGCGCTTACGCTCTAAAACCTGCTGCTATAGGAGCCTTTACAATTGAACAGGGCTTTGGGGGAATGTTGTACTTACTTACTTAGACAACAGGGAACCATTGCTTTGGTCTCCGGTTTTGCCATCCAAGTAGCTTGTTTCCCTGACCCGCACCCTGCCGGACAACGATCTTTGCTTTTGGGCGAAGCCTGGGTAGGGCTTAAGTTTGGGTTTAGGTTTGCGTGACGGGTGTGGGTTTAGGGTTTTGGGGTTCTGGGGTTTTGCAGTAGTTTTGGGGTTAGGTCTTTGAAATAAAATAGGAACCGCATGCTAGATATCTCTCGGCTACCCAGTTACTCCTGCAGACTATTCGAAAGATTAGAAAAAACTGCTAGGACCCCCCAAAAAAGCGGCACCAGGCAATCAAGCTCCCCGAAACATGAGCAAGGATATCGACCGGCTTACGCCCCGACGCACGAAGCCTTACAAATTTCAGCTGATACAAGAACATACAAGAACCATCTCCTCCTAACCTATACCCTATCAACCCTAAGCCCCAAAAAGGGGGCCGGGGGTGGTCTCGGTCTCTTCCAGTTGTGAGCCTCAGAGTTTGCCCTTGCAAGCAAGGTTGACTTGGGTCCTGCAGAAGCCTACCTGTCTTGAGGATTTTACATGAGGAGTTCATAACAAAGAAAACCTGAAACGGTAGGTTATTTAGGGTAGGTTGTTTAGGGTTGAGGTATAGGATTTTAAAACCTTCAACCCTAAACCCTGCTGGTTTAAGGTTTAATTGTTCAGGGTTCCGGGTTTTGTCTCAGAGCTTGCACTGGAGGATTGGTGCGATTGGGGGTCTTGGTAGGTATTGTTATAGATGCTAAACTTACTCAACCAAACGAGAGAACCTTACGCGTGTCGTCCTTAGATGCTTGGTCTATTTCAACAGATTGAGCTGTTTCGGGCCCGGTGATTGAACAAGGCAGTGGATCCTGTGCTATGTCCGGTACACCCATTCTACTTGTAGGCCCCGAAACCCTGAGTTTGTACAAACCTTTGTAAGGCCAGAGACCTTAAACCCCAGACGCGTGTCGGACTCGATGCAGTACACTGCGTACCCTCCTCATCTCACATTCAGATGCGGCTTGGTACGGCAACTCCCAACCCTGAAGCCGAAAACCCAACCATACTCCGGAACCTACACCAGAACCCTAAGCCGCAGACCCAAGCTTCAATCCGATATGTGGAGCGGCTCAAGATTCCACTGTTGCAAGAGACCGCGCAATGGCTTCCGCGGATGCGACTTTCCTGAACGTCACCCTACATGTTCAAGTGCTCCCCGTGTAACAAATCAGGATAAGCACCAAAACCCATGGTCCATAGTCTACGGAAGCAACACAACTACTTGGACCTCTTGGGTCGCTGCTTTCATAGCGGTTTCAAGGAACCGGGGGCTGGGAGTGTGTTGGCAAGGCCCTTGGAGTTGAAGTTGGAAGAACTCCAGATTTTCGTACATGGTACAGCATCGTTGAAACCAGACGTCTTTGCATTCCTGGGTATCTTGGTTGTTGGGGCCTCTACCTGCACACCCAGTTTAAGATACTGGATCTGCGTTCGTGGCTGTGCTGCCTTATAATTCAAGAAGAAGAAAACTGAGCACCACTAGAAGATGAGCAGGCTACTACTGCACTGCTATCTGGCCTCAAAGCCTTAAAGGCGCAATCCTAAGCCCTAAATGCTAGCCCACACAATTGAGTAAGTAGAACGAGGACCGCAAATCGTAGAAACAAGTCAGGAAACACCTATCTCCACAACATCAGCCCGCAAACAGAACCACGCTCATGTCCACAACATCAGTCCTGAAGCCTACACCCCAGGCCCTAGCCCCTCCACCCTCAACACGAACCTTAGCAGGGTTTGGGATTCGGTGCTGGTGCTGTCAGGGTTCTGAGTATCCGTGTCTTGGGTCTTGGTACGCAAGCACATGAAGGAGGGTGCGTACTAGGATTTCTGAAGAGGAGATCTGCTTTTCCGACAACCGTAAATGCTACAGTAAGCCTAACAGGTGTCCCGAGAGCAGCGTTATGTAACTTTCGGTGCTGAGGTGGTCGTTCTGTCGGTGAGAAGCGCCAAGCAGCGCAAACCTCGTCCGCTGCAGCTGCAAAAGGCTCCAAAGACCCACCCATCTGAATACTTTCTCACTGATATTAGTCCTGAAAGGGTTCCCTAACATACCTACACTATAATGTATCCTGAAACCCTATTCCAAATAGTTAATAGATCAGCCTGCCATATTCAATCCTACACGATAGGTTTCTGGGTTTGATGGTTGAGGACGTGCAATGAAAGTTGGTGTTCTGTTCTGCCTTGGGAAAGGTTCAGGGTTTAGGGTGCAGGGTTGGGGTTCAGATTCGGGGTTCAGGGTTTCGGGTGTAGGAAAGCCTCACCGGATGATTCTAGACTATGAAGTGCGTACTGAGATATCCTAATATATAGACGACTTGAAGAAGGATAAGAACTGTAAAGTTTACCAAAAGAGCCCCATTCTGATTATGAATGCCATAGCTTCTCCCTAAAACCCTGTCAGGAATGCAGAATCGACCAGTGTGCTGAGAGCCAGAGCCAGGAGCAAAGGGTTTACGGCTCAGGGTTGAGATACTCTCGGGGTGTAGTTAGTAAGAGTATCCCCTTACCGTCCCAATAATTGCGACCCCGACATTGGGTGGACTGGCGGTGGTGTGACGATTGGGGGCATGTGGGTGGGGTGGGTGGGGTGGGAAGAACACGCCGAGTTGCTGGAGTGTGCATTCGACGTGTTTGCAGCAGGATGTGTCTGTGAGGTTAAGGCTCCTTCTGCTGTCATGGTTTTCCTACACCCTTTTGAGGTGAGTAAAGAATCCCGGTCAGAATCCTTGCCCGCACGTGAGCAGGCAAGCTGACATGCGCAAGTAAAGGCCAAGGCCAAAAAGAGCTCCAGGCTGGGGGGTTTTAGTCGGTTCTCGAAGGAAGGAGCGCTGTAATGGGAATCGTGAACTGTTTTTACATGTGCAAGCAGGTAGGTCACCACCATTTTGTGACATGATCTCTTCACCACTTCCTTCCATCTTGAACTGAACACCCCCACGCACACACACACACACACACACACACTCCGCAGGAGCCAGCCGAACATCGGCAAGTAACGCAGGAAGTGACGAATGAGATGGAGGCACGTGTATTCAGCACGACAGCGCTTAGCTTTTGCAACTCCGCTTCCTGCAAAGAGGCTCGACATGTGTGCGGCCATTCTTTTCCACAGTACAGAATCCCTGCTGTGCCGTGCGGCAGACAAGCTGACATGCCCAAGTAAAAGCCAAAGTAACCCTACACTCAAAACCCTAAAGCGCAAGTAAAGACCAAGAGGAGCTCCAGGCTTATGGGGTTTTCGTCCGGCTTCTGGCAGGTCTTTCAGGGGAGGGACCGTAGAAAACGTCTCGAAATTGTCATAGTGACTGCTGTCGTTTGTAGAAAGTGTTCGAAGTCATCAGGCAAGCAAACTTATCCTTACTTGCATGTATCTGTTTGCGGCTTTGCGCCTTAATCCACGGACCCTGAAGCACATCGATGTCGCCAGAAGTGTGTCGTGAAGCCGTGCTGTTTCTCTCTTCACAAGGCGGAACAGTGAGGCATCCTGCAATGCACAACCCTGTTAAAGAACGCAAGCATCCCACAAGCAATCACGAGCCTCCGTACTCGGAAAATATCTACGCCCTGATGGCCCTAAATCCTGAACCCGAAGCCCCTCAGCCCTGAACCCCAAACCTTAAAACCCAATAAACCCTAAACCAAGTGCCTGGAGGTGAAGGCTGAAGTCAAGGAAGAGCTGGAGGCAGATGCCTGATTGGGTGGTTTCGGGCTATCGTCTGCCATCAGCGCTTGTCACCTGACACTGCTACTATGCCTGCACCAGACATCACAAAACGGAGCCCAAAAGCGCAGCTCCACCTAGTGCTATCAAAGCTTGATTTGTCAGCACCATAATGGGAAAGTTATGGTCGTGGCAGGAGTCAGAAAGCCAGACGGTCAGGGTAGCTGAGACGAAGCTGGAGCAGAAGGAACCGAGTGGGCCCAAGCCCTGCGGAGTTTAAGGATTTCGCGATTCGGGGTTTAGGGTGTAGTTCTATTGCTTCCGCCTTTGAAAACCTTGTTTTGGCCAGCTACTGGCATTAAAAGGACTGTCAGACCTCGTAGCCTCCTCATGAAAATAAGCCAGTACTGTCAGACCGACCTTGTTCTCTGTGCCGAGTGGTTCAATGCGACGCCACGCAGCGTCGTAGTTGCAGCTTCGGCTCGCTCGCTGACGGCCGCCAAAGAACGATTGCATTTGTAGAGCCGATGTACCTGTGAAGGGCTGCAGGCTGCTTGCTATTCTGTGATTCTGTGGATGTGCAGTGCGGGTTCAGGGATCCAGGCTTTAGGGCCTCAGAGTACCTACAAGACTTTGACCGGTGGTTTGAGGCTCGGGCTTTAGCAACCCGGCACCGCGTTTGAAGCTCTCTGACTAGCACAGCGTGCTTGAAGGATTTGAAGAGAGAAGTGAAGGAGGAGGCGTCGAAGGATGCGCAGATGAAGATAAAGACGGAGATCAAGCAGGAGTCGTCCAAAAATATCAAGGTGGAAGTCAAGGAGGAGACGACACGGGGGGCTGATGGGATTTTGTGTGCTTCTCCTGCAGCTGTGAGACAGGTCAGTGTTTTATCTGCCCGGTGATTGAATTCAAGATTCAGGTTTCCTCAGCCCCAAAGCTGAAATCCGGAGTAGGCCTCAGGTTGAGGTGTGTTGCTTAAGGCGTAAGGCCCAGCGATGATGCTTCAGGTTTTACTACCAAAGGCTGCTTGGAATATTCAGATCTCAAGCTGCCACTGCTGTTTAGAGAAAGGGTGCGACCCAGGGGGTTTCAGTTCCGAACGGGTTTCTGCAATGCCCCCTAAACCTTATAAACCCTGAGCCATGAGTCTCGAGACCCTGCAGATTCTAAGTCGCATCCGGATTTGGCTAGAACCGGTAGTAGACACTTGGCCGGCGTGCGCAATGCAATACCAGCTTCAACCAACATGTGTCGGCTCAGCGCTTGAAGGATGTCAAGCAGGAGGTGAAGGAGGAGGTTTCGAAAGATGCAGATATGGAAGTGAAGGAAGAGAGCAACGAGGCGACGGAAGACACGGGGAATGAGCTTGTAGCAATGAAGTACCCCTGAAAAATGAAAACATACTCACACTAATACGATTACTTTAAGGCGTGATGGTTGGAAATATAGTCGGGATAAATACAATAACAGACCCGGCGAAGCCAGCTCGCCGCAAGAAGCATATTACTACATTAGTCAATGACATTAGTTTTTAGTTACGCACGAAAAGCAAGGAACGCATACTAATACTGTACTCCAGACCCTTAAACCAGAAATTCCAAATCCTTGGTGGGGCTAGCTCACCTGCAGACCTCAATGTTCATGAACAGTCCACTGCTGCATCCTTTTTCAGTTGAGGGTTCGGGGGTTTGGTCGTTGCATGGCCTTCTAACGAGTCTGCCCTGGAACAACACTATTATGCATGCTCTAAACGTGCTATACTTTTGTCCCTTTTGTCCATAGACTTGGGGACTTATCCACGAAGTGCTTTCAGTTTGAAAGGCCTATATAGTGATCTTTACACAGGCGGCCACGTCCATTCCTGGATTCCCGGTTTAAGCGTGAGTGTCAGCGGAGGTTTGCCAGGCTTGACTTCCTCAGGTCTTCACCTCCTGTTTAAACCCCTATCGACCCCAAACCCTGAAGCCTATCCTGTCACGGAGGTCGTCAGCTCCCGCCGAAGAATGCGCACAAAGGCCGCCTGGAGAGATGATGAAAGATGCTGCAGATCCATGTGTAGAGGTGTAAGTACCCAAGGACAAGGCCGTGCTGGACCCTCAAGACCTAGATCCCTGCATGCTAGACCCGTGGGCTTCGCGTGCACGCATGTATACACATACTTATGATGTGTCTGTGGTGACACTGTCGGACACTCAAAGACGTGGAGTAGCGGAGCAAACATGAGTGCGTTTGCTTGTGCTCTCCTGGGGCATCTCAGAGCACGCTTTGGGGTGTCAGGGTGCCGGACTTAGAGCGTACACCTACAGACATTGGAGTGCGAAGATGAGCAGCTACATATGCAGCTGTCAAGTCCGAGTTGGAGGATTACATGCCAGCTCTGGATTTCTAGGACTTGTCATTTGAAAGTGCTATCTTGCATCGAAGGTTAAGGCTGAGATCAAGCACGAAGTGAAGCAGGAGGACCCCTGTTTGTGAACATGTTTCCAAGCAAGGTTGAAGGCCTGTCAGCATTTTGAGCAGATCTTCATACGTAGTTGTTTTGTTGGATGTTGAATTGCTTGCTGTGTGCGCTTCCTGCGATTGCCGATGCCACAGCGGCATATCGTTAACCACAGATGTCGTCAATCGTTGTGAATAGTCACACGGGCAGTACTGGTACTTTTGCTGATACTGACGTCTCTATGCCACATGTATGAACGACTGTTGCAGTATCTGTTTCTGATGCCTGGAACATGTGAAGCAGGAAGATATAGGTAAAGATCGGTGTTGTCCGGTCTTACTCAGTGAAGTTCGACACCAGGCTTCTCGATGCGATGAAACTCTTGTGATACTATAACAGCAGTCTTGCTATCCGTACTACGCCCATCATGGCTGGTCATGTTTACTTGGCAGCGCTGCGTTTGGGTTGGGGCCTGGATTCCGCCTCCGGGGGCTGAGGAAGAGACCTGCGAGGGACAGTTACGGGATGTTACTGGGCTTAACTTCCACACCTTGTGTTGTTCAGTGTTTACAAGTCGACGGGCTTCGTGCATCTTGGTGCTTTCATGGCGTCAAATGGGTGTCTAGCTCTGCAGGAGTCTGAAGAGGCATATTCAGTCAGCTCTGCAGACGCATGCAGCGTTCTCATGCACAGTCTTTATCCTGTCCCGCTTATCACGAAGGACAAGAAGTCGCACAGGGAGTCGCGGCTTGGCAGCGGTCAGGAACCTTATTTGCCGCGAGTCTCCTTAGCGCGATACAGGGCTATGGGCAGAATCGAACGGTTTCGGGCTTCGGCCTTGTAGCTGTATCTTCGAGCCAGGCTTCCCAATTCGCATTTGGGCAAGACCTGCACTCCTACAGCGGAAGTTCGAAACCAGACACCTCTCTTTCAGATAGTTCGCTTCAATGTGCAGGGACCTCCGGCCTTGGGCCTCAAGTTAGAGGCCTTAAGCCTTCGGCGCAGTCAGTGATTGGAGTCGATTCTGTGTGGCTCGTCGATGCGTGTCTTAAACTATGTTGTTATTTGCAGCGCTTTGTTCTGCTGTAGAACTCGCGATCGCGGTGCTGCTTTTACTGGCTATACCAGTTTGCTTGCGGAATTGTTGACGTTGCCTTCCGATTAAGGACTGGTGTCAAGCAGGAGAAAGTGGATGAGGACCAGCCGGTGCAAATTAAACAAGAGGGCTTCGATCAGCCTGTGCCGAAGAGGCGTCGATTGAGCCAGAAGAGTCCGGACGTCTCCGTTCCATCCTTCGAGTCGCGATTGACAGAGTGGGCCGAGAAATGCCTAGCATTTCAATCCTCTGGCAAGACGTGGCTGCCCACGAAGCCCTGCTGCCCGGCCAGCCCCTTTCTCGGCTTGGCGGCAGCGCCGTGGCAAGGATGCGTAGGAGACAAGACAACTTCATGCATGCAGCTCCTCGGCAAAGAGCAGTTCAGAGAGTTGCGAGACTTCTACCGCGAGAATCCACTCCACACCCTTTTCCATGACAACAGTAGCCCAAGCAGTGAGCGACAGACAGAGACCACTGCTGGATCCAGGCCGCAGGCCCACAGGAGCTCAACCGGCAATCAGCACCGAGCAGCTGAGTGCATGAAGATGTGGCCTTGGATGCGGGATCTTCCAACACGAGCGTGGGCCGGCAATGGCTGGCTTCTCGTGGAGGACGGCATGATGAAGCTCTCGCCGACCGGAGGGGGCTCCGCCATGCAGGGCCTCGAGATCTTCGAGTCCGTGGGCTCCGTCCCGGAACCAGGCGAGCCATCCAGCAGAGCGGAGCCCAGAGCCGAGGAAGGCCAGGTCGTCACGAAGTGCTTCCGTGGCCTGGAGCGCCAGAGTGGCATCCAGGGAATTTGCTGGCACAGAGCGAAGGCCTGCTGGAGAGTCCAATGGTCAGTTCCCAGCAAGCCCAATCAGCAGCGTCACTTCCCCATTTCCAAGCACCTGAAGCTGGGCCTCAGCGAGGCCGAGGCCGACGAGGCGGCCCTCCAGGAGGCCAAGGCTTTCCGCCAGGAGCTCGTGCGCCTGGGGAAGCTGAAGCCACCGAAGACAGTCACCGAGAAGGACTCCGGCTCCACGGTGAGAGGAATCTGTTATGACAAAAGCAGCGGAGCGTTTCGGGTTCGAATTACAGACCCCTCCACCAACAAAAAAGTGCACGGCGGCTACTTCAAGGTGAAGGAGGAGGCCGAGGCCCGGGCTCGGGAGTTGGCCAAGGAGCTGGGGCTGCAGGAGGAGCTGGTGCCAGTGAAGCCGCTCTCGGAGCTCCCAAACTTCGAGCCGCTGGGGCCACAGAAGAACATCAAGTGGAACCTTGGCGAGCAGGCCTGGAAAGCCCAGTGCAACGTCTCGGGAAGGAAGAGGTGCATGAGGTTCCGCCCGAAGGACTTCTCGGCGAAGGAGCTGGAGAAGTCCTGGAAGCAGGCGGTGGCCTGGCGCAAGCAGCAGGAGAAGGAGAGGGCGCAGGGTCAGCAACCCCGCAAGTGCTGAGGAGCACAGTACAGTGCAGGAGCTTGAACAAGTGCTGATTTAAGGTTAGATGCATTCTCTCACGGCGGAAGCATGTTCAGGCTGAGCTTCATTTCCAAACATTAAATTAATCATAAAGGTAAGAAACCTAAACCCTGAACCCCTAAACCCTGAAGCCCCTAAACCCTTAACCATAAAGCCTAAACCGCAGCTCATGTCCGATTTGGTACGAATCTCGCTTTGCGCAAGTCCGCAATTCAGTCCCACACTGCACAACAATCAGGCAAGTGTGGATCCCATCACGTCTCACTCTGCATTCCAAGGTTTCTTTTACTTCGGACATGTAGAAATTGCGACCACAAGCTCATGTTGCGCGTTCTCCGCTTAACGCCAGGGTTGGTCTTAGTATCGTGCGGGTTGAAGGCTCCGAGCTGGCACCTGCAAGCAAGGGTTAATGGGACCCTTACAGAACCGCTCGTTGTTGATTCATCGGGTTTAGGATTTTGAGTTTCTTCATATTGGGGAATCATAAACTCTAAACCCTACGCCCCAAATTCATTCAGGGCTCAGGTAGGATTCGACCCGATGTAGTATCCCTGTGTGGGTCCTCAACCCTCAACCCCCTATACCCCCTATGAATCCCGACCTTTTGAGCCCTAAAACCCCAAAATCCCGAAACGCGGAACCCTGAACCCTAAACCGAACCCCAAGAGATAAACCCTAAACCCACACCCCCCCCCCCCTCCAAAAAAAAACGTAGGCCGCAGCTTGCAGGGGCAACCCTTAACCCTAAACCCTAAACCCTAACCTAAACCCTAAACCCAATAATTAAGCCCTATAAGCCCTAAACCCTAAGCCCCGAAAGTTTCCAATTCTAAACCGGAGCTCCCAGGTGCGTTTGGTCCTTGCCCGAAATCGGCTGACGGCCTTGCCCACGGGACTGGGACGGTCGGACCCCTGGGTTCGGTCTTAAAAGACACCCTTTGAAGGATCGTAGATACGAGGCCTGAATTTTCCTAAATAGGGGTTTAGGGTTTAGGGTTTAAGGTTTAGGGTTTAGGGTTCAGGGTTTAGGGTGGTACTTGTACCAGAATATTGTTCCTGAAGGTTCCTGCTAATAGTTGTCCCATAACACCTCTCCCGAAACATATGCTAATTATCAAGGTCACATATTATTTGGGTATGAAAGGGCTTGAGAAAGGACACATGATAAACCCTAAACCCTAAGGACTTGATTCTCAAACCTTAAACCATGAACTGGTTTGTATGGCTTAGAGGGTCTAGTAAGGGATGAGGCTTGAAAATGCTTGGACGCCTGAGGCTTGAGACCTGTCCTGCTGCTGGATTAGTGAAGTGCACCCGTGATTACCAGGTACACTCGGGTTAGGGTTTACGGTTTACTGTAGGGGTTAAGGTTTGTGTTTTGGGGTTCGGGTTTAAGGCTGGGGTACAATCCCAAATGCCACATGATAAACCCTAAACCCTAAACCCTAAACCGTAGGAAGTGTGAGCCACTGGAGCTCTGAAAGCCTCGAGGCTCTTGCGCAAACCCAATAGCAAACCGTAACCCCCCAAATCTTGTAGAACCCTTATCTTAGGAACCCCAAAAGCACATAAGCATAAGCATTTTATCGGGATATCCCTACCTTATTGGGCCTCATTATAAGGGGATTTATATGGGATATCACTATCCTAGTTTTTGCTTACGTGCTTTTGTGGGGCCCTATTATCGTTTCGATGGTGGAAACCCTTCCAGAAATCGATAAACCCTAAACCCCTAAGCCCTACACCCTAAACCCTAAAACCATAACTCTGAGCCCTAAAACCCTAAAGCCTCAATACTATAAAGCCTATACCCTAACCCGAAACCCAAAAACCTTAAATCAAAAGGACCCTAGAACCCCATATAGGTGCCTTAAAAACAACCACAAAAAGGATCTATATATATATATATATATCACCCTTAAAGAGAAGCCTAAGCCCTAAACCCGAAACCCTAAGTCAAGAAACAAGTCATGACTACCCTAAACTCTAAACCCCTAAAAAAGAACCCTAAATCAAGAAACAAGTCATGAATCCCCTGAACCCTCAACCCTGAAAAAACCAAAACGTCAAGAAACAAGTCATGAATCCCCTAAACCCTAAACCCTTAAAAAGAACCCTAAATCAAGAAACTAGTCCTGAATCCCCTGAACCCTAAACCCTTAAAAAGAACCCTAAATCAAGAAACTAGTCATGAATCCCCTGAACCCTAAACCCTTAAAAGAACCCTAAATCAAGAAACAAGTCATGAATCCCCTAAACCCTAAACCCTAAACCCTTGATTAGAGCCCTCAACCCTAAACCCTACACCATCCTGAGTCCAGGCTCGCAAAGCTGCAGTACCTGGATGCGGCAGACAACCACCTGCCTGAGAGCTCAGACTCTGAACGAACCGTCTTAGTATCCTGTAGCCCTTGTAGGGTTCAGGGCCTAGAGTTTAGGGTTCAGGGTTCAGGGTTTAGGATTTAGAGTTTTCGTAGTATCCCGCCCTCTTTCTTGAAGAGATGCAAGGCAGATGCGCCTCTTCAGCAGGTTCTGCAAATGCACTGTTGCGGGCTCATGTCTGCATCTCTCGCCCCCGTGTGTGTGTGTGTGTCTCTCTCTCTCTCTCTCTCTCCTAAACCCTAAACCCTAAACCCTAAAACCTAAACCCTAAACCCTTAGCCCTAAACCCTAAACCCTAAACCCTAAAACCCTAAAACCCTAAACCCTAAACCCGTGCAAATCTCTCGCTCTCTGTTGGCTCAAGAGCTTTGGGGTGCGCGGCTTTTGGTCTCTCTTTCTGGCTCTTTTCTGGGTCCTTAGAATAAGGACCCAACTACTTTGCATGTCTAACGGGGGTTGGGGCTGAGGGAGTGAATATTCGAGGACCTCTGGGGGTTTCCCTTTGGGAGGTAGTGCCTGCTGGTCCGGGGCCGTCCTGGTCTAGTTAATTCGAACTTCGAACGCACTTCCGCTGACAAGCCGCGAGGAGGTGGGGGCTGGGTACGCTGACCCTACAAACCGGACCTAAACCCTAAACAAACCCTAAACCCTAAACCCCCAATTCTCCCTAAACCCTTCCCCGAGCTACTCTAGTCTGAGTCGCTTGTTGCACACCCTAAACCCTAAACCCTAAACCCCGTCTACTCGGTGCCTGAGCCCAGGTCTGATGTTTTGGGCTTAGGTTTTTGGGCCCCGAGGTTGGCGCAGCCTGGCCTCGTCTGGGCAAACCTTAAACTTTGAACCCTGAGCCCTCATAAATTCTGAACTATACTGCCGTAAAGCCTGAACTCTTATCCCCAAACCCTCAACCCTAAACTGTAAACCCTCAACCCTAAACCCTAAACCCTAAACCCTAGACCCTCTCAACCCTAAACTGTAAAAAGAAGGCCGAAGCCATTCAAAAGCTCTTCAGGTCTTCGATCCCGGAAACCATCATCGCTTGCCCGTCCTCCGGCACGAAGTTTAGGGTTTCGGGGGGTTTTGGGTTTTGGAGTTTGGGGTTTAGGGTTTAGTGATCGAGGCCCCAACCCCAATCCATAGTCCTGAAGCTTACACCCCATGCTCCAATCAACCAATGAACCCTTAATCCCCAAACCCTAAACCCTACCTGTAGCCGAAAAGATTTACGTTTTTAAAGGGCTCCATCTATCTGTCTGTCTATCTATCTATCGATCTATCTATCTATCTATATAAATAAATATAAATAGATATACATAGAAAGAAACCATGATCAGGAATCCTAAGAAGGTAGGTCTTTTCGGCTACAGGTACACCCCCATAACCCCTAAACCCTAAACCCTAAACCCTAAACCCTAAACCCATAACCCATAAACCCTAAACCCCTATTATAAACCCTATGCCGTGAATACCGCAAGCCCCGAACCTAGCCCGCAAGTCCCACTAGGTTTGATGCTACACACGGGTTTAGGGTTTAAGGTTTAGGGTTTAGGGTTTAGGGTTTTGGGGCTGAGGCTTT